AAAAAAAAAAAAAAAAAACAGAATCTTTCAGAACCAGCTTAGCAATCATACAAACACTAAATCAAAGGGGGAAAACGCAACTTGAAAATGGTAGGAAAGCTTTGTGTAATTTTTATTTACCCATGCCCTGCCCTCTGCCCTACTTGCAGTGGTCTTGACATTGGCAGAGATCCACAATGGAACATATTACAATCAAACTCTCAAAAGCCAAAGTCCAAAGAGAGATTCCTGAAAATAGCGAGAGAAGTGACTCATCACATACAAGAAGTCCTCAATAAGGTTAACAGTCAATTTCTCATAAGAAACTGTGGAGGCCAGAAGATAGTGAGATAGACTATTTAAAGTGCTTAAAGGAAAAAATTGTCTCCTAAGAATTCTATATCTGGCCAACTCTCCTTCAAAAATAGAGAAAAATTAAGATATTCTTAGATAAACAAAAGCTGAGAGAGTTTCTTACCACTAGACTTGCCCTTCGAGAAATTCTAAAGAGCATCCTTCAGGTTGAAATGAAAGGACACTAGACAAATAATCCCAAGTCACATGAAGAAATAAAGATATATCATTAGTAGAAAAAGTACTTGTACTTTTTCTTATAGTGTACTGCAACTGTACTTTGTACTTGTACTGCCCAGCCACTCAGTTACAGAACACTCTACAACTGCTGATTTCATATAGCCATTAACAGATTTTCATTTTAAACTTTTCCAGGAGGAACCGCAAAACAATAACACAACACATTACCGTGGAGTTGGATCCAACTCATAGCAACCCCTCCTTGGGTTTCTGAGGCGGTATCACTACAAAAGTAGATTGCCCGGCCTTCCTTCTGAGGAGTGGCTAGTGAGTTTGAACTGTCAGCCTTCTGGTTAGTAGTCAGAAGCCTTAGGCACTACACCACCAGAGGGTGGGTAAAATGAATCAACTGAATAAATAAAGTAATTAAAGTAATGTGTTGTGTGATGGTATTTTGTAATTTTGCATTCTAAATGTATTTTTCTATGAATATATTAATATGTAGTGAACTTACAATCTTCATTTTTATTTCTCAATTGTGACTTAGGGTGATAGAGTGTAGTAATGTATGTAAAGTAACCATAAGTTTCCCCCACTAGATGATGAACTACATAAGAACATGGAATGGACTGCAATTTCTTTATGCTAGCACCTGTGTAGCACATGAGAGGAGATCAATACATGCTGCTGAATAAACAGAGGAATGATGACACTATCAAGGTATAGTGAGATTATAGCAGAAATATATGTCTTGGTCAGACCTGTTAAGTCAAAGGAATATGTACATGCACAATCATTATTTTTTGATCCCAATGTAAATACTACATATCAGGAGATAAACATTATCAGCCAGGACGAAACCATCATACACGAAAACTTGAGTCATATTCTACAAGAAAATCTAAATTAAATGCTTTCTTATATACTTACCATTGCAGTCTTCAGTGCCACAGAATCAAGATTGGGCAAATTAGCTAAAGAGCCCTAAAAATAGTAAGAAAAAACAACATGGACAAAGAGGTGATATATATTTCAGTAGTCCATTAATGGATTATACAAATTTGCAATACTAATTAACTTATTTCCAAAGAACTCAAGTGTCTTCTTTTCAACCTTAATAAAAAACAGAGATGTATGTCTGGTTATTCTTATTTCCCAAGAACATAAGTATCATCTCTTCAAGCCTAATGAAAGCAGACATGTATGTCTGGTTATTCATTTTTGTAGTTACCATGAAAGCACTCAAATAACGTGTTTTGGAGGAAGGGAAAAATCAGTAAGTTTATAAACAACAGAAATAACAAGATATTCTAGATTTACTCAAAAGCAAGAAAAAGAAGGCAATAAAGTGTTTAGAATATACAAGAAACATATGGAGGCTTGATCAGTTTCACTTTCATAATTTTAGAAAGTCTAGAAAGCAGAATTGGTTCTTACTGGTAGCACTTTGTATACTATCATAGCAAAAGAAAGAAAATTAGAACTACTGATCATTGAGAGCTTCATTTAAGAGTTTCTGATCTGTAAAATACATATGGCAAACTTCATCTTAATACCACTCAAATAGTTCTTTGCTATTTAAAGAAAGATGCTTTTATGGCTTTCTAGGGTTTTCACCATTCCATTACTTATATCTCCTGGGGTTCTATAATTTTACAAGATCATATGGCCACTCCAGAAGTGAGTATCTTTCTAAAGTAATAGACTACAATTTGCCAAATTAAAAAGGGGATGACTACTATTTATATAGTAATCAATTGAATGAATGGGTTAATGGATAATGATCGAGGATGCTGAAAAAGTTACCAGTATGTATATATTTTTTATTACTTTAACCAAAGCTATCTACTGTAGTAGTAGTACAGGTTAGTTAATATGTTGAGAGACTATATTATACATCAGGCAGTCATCTAAGAACTGTACATGTATCTTCTCAATCTTCAAAATAACCAAAATAACGCTATGACACAGATACAACTACTACCTCTAATTCTTAGATGAGGTAACAGAGAGGGAGAGAAAAGTCACTTTCCAGTGTCACAAAGCTATGAAGTGGTGGAGCAAGAATTCAAATCTAGAGTCTGGCTCCAGAATCTATACTCCAAATCAGTACATTTTTCTAACTAGAAAATCTATTTGCTTACCTGCTCAGGTTTATGTTGCTGTACAGTATTATAGATGTAACTTAAGCCTGCTCTAGTTAAAACATAAGAAGCTTGTTCATTTATAAGTGTGTCCAAATGTGCTTCAATCTAAAATAGAATACAATACAAAGAAAATATTTTTGAAAAGGAATAGAACTGATGAGAGTAAGAATAGGCCACCCTGGAGTCTTAACTCTACTATGGATTTTTTGTTGTTGTTAAAGGAGTACATACTATTAAGCAAATGGCATCTCTAACAAGCCATTTTCTTCTCTCAAGGAGGAAGTCCTCCAAAAAAAGGAGAAAGAATCTTACTTTAAAAATAACAGCTAAAGAGGATTTCAGACCTACCCACAGAAAAAAGTTTGGGTTGCTCCTCAGCTCTTTTAAAATCTGGTAAGAAACAGAGCCAAAGAAACATACATACATACATACATACATACATACATACATAATAACACCACAAAATAAAATACTTAGAATTTTGGAAAGATGAGAGCTTTCTAGGGTTTCCACCATTCCATTACCTATATCTCCTGGGGTTCCTGTTCCTGACCTCTTCACTCCCTCAACTGGCTGGACTCAACCAATACAATAAAAATTGTATTTTTCCTGTTCCTGACCTCTTCACTCCCTCAACTGGCTGGAAAAGCCTGGAGGAAATCCCACAGGCACTGGGACAGGAAGTTTTCCTGAAAAAATAGGCCTGTGAAATTCAGGGGAGAGTTGAAGGCCAAGCAAAACCTCGGTCAAAGATTTTAGGTTCAGAAATTGCCTAAGATGATCTGCCCAGCAGATTTAAGTGAAATGTGCTCATCTGTTTTGGGGAAGCCACTTAATGGGGCAGAAGCCAGAGTTGAGGACTTCCCTGATATGTTCAAACATTTCACAGTGTCAAGTGTACTGTTCCTCCATTATTTCCACCAACGCGAGTCTGGAGGTCTTCATTGCAAAGTGTTCATTTACTTGTGGTAATAAAGCAGACACTTTTGTTCTTTAAAAACTTTACATCTACCATTAAGCATCATTATTGCAAAATCAGAACCTCATGTATCTGGTAGAATTTATAAATGCCTTTGTTTTAGCCATCTTATAGACTTTTAAATGACACCATTTGGTTAAAGGACGAGAGTGACTGGTTTAATAAACTGTAATGTTTTGCCTAACACTGTTTACACATAGATAAAAATATATCTGTCCTATGTAACACCTTCTGTACTAGCTACACAGCTTGAGAAATATAGCATATTATTCACAGCTCAGAAACTAAAATCTGCATACACAATAGCTGCTCAAATTTATCTGAAAAGCTTCATACTCCAATCACATGCTATGGTCTGAATCAAGTCTCTTAACCATTATATACCTGACTTCTCCAAAGCTAAAACAGAAATAATGGACAAATATATAGACAGGCATAGATGTAAATACATATATGTGTGTATACAGTTTTTCATCATTAAGGGAATTTACAGGGACTATGCAACTGAAATTAGGTTAAAACTCATAGCTAAAAACAACCATATAAATAAAGACTATTACATCACACTCAGTAGTCATTTTATAGCAACATTTACCTGAAACTGTAGCATTTCAAGACGTCTATCAGTGAATTCAAACAAAGCTAATGTTGTCTTCATCATATACAGTGAATTGACCATGAAAGTAGCCATGTCAGCTGTGCCTAAATTGCTGGCTGATACAGTACACATCTGGAGGAGAGGATCTAAGACACATGATAAAACCTATAAATAAACAAACAAAAAACTTAATTCATTCCTTAGTCCCAGTTAGTTTTATGGTCCTGGGTTAGAAGCACCTCAGAATCTAATGTCAAACTAATTAGAAGGGTGCCAACTTCCAGAAGGACATTAAGAAAATACTAAATGGTACAATAACCATAATAGTTTTTAAAATAGGCATCATTAAATAACACTGCTTAAATTAAAGAGAACTTACTTAATATATAAAGGAAAAATCAACAAAGAAAGTGATGATGTTACAAAATGCCAGGAGAATGTGAACAGAATGTTCACAACAGAAAAGCAAAAATTAATTGCTAAAAAATTGACAATATACCTGAACAAAATCAGCTTGGCGAGCATCTAATGGAACAACTGAAGAATCATGAGATGCCAAAACTTCACGCAACAATGTGAGTGTCTGATTCAGAGCAGAACTTGGTCCAAGGTCAGGTGGAGGGAGTTCAACCTAAAATAAAGATTATTTATCCATACTTGTATTTTCTACTAAATTTTAATACACAAAATAAATGTCGGTTCAAAATAAAATAACATACATAAAAGATCCAAAGTACTGACTTTCATATAAAAAATCTGTAATTTATCAAAAGCTTACAATTGCCTCCTTTGCCAGGAGACCAGGAGAACTGGAGGTGGCTGGCTATTCTATTCCATAGAAGAACTCTATCAAAAAGTGGAAAACACAGAATAGAATTTCAAATTTTCATGGACTCTAGACTTTCTGGGGCCATGCAGGGTGCATGAACTCCTGAAACTATTTCCGTAAGAAAATCTTTAAACATTAAATCAAAAATATCCCTTGTGGTCTCTTGGAACCAAATAACAGTTTCTTAACTAGTAAAAAATGTCTGCTTTTACCATTATGCTCTTTTAAGAACTATCCATCTGGGATCAAACTGACAACAGCAACTCAAAAGATTTGATAAGAACCTTAGAGAGCAGTGAGTTTATGTTAATGGGGGAGGCACAATTCAGAAAAGGAGTGTGAAAATGGTTGTACAGCTTGCAGAATGTAATCAATGTTACTGAAGTGTACATGTAGTAACTGCTGTATGTTTTGCTATATAGATTCTCAACAACAACAAAATATAGAAAATTTAGGGAAAAAATTATACAGAAAATCAACAAAATCTAAAGTTATTTTTTTAAAATGACCAACAAAATTGAAAACCTTTAGCCAGAGTGACCAAGGGGGTGGGGGGATACCCAAACTACTAAAATCAAGAATAAAAGTGGGACATTACTACTGAATTTACAGAAATAAATAGAATTATAAGGGCATACTATGAAAACTTGTATGCAACAAATAAGATAATACAGATGGAATAGATAAATTATTTAAAACACACAAAGTACTGATTGATGAAGAAAGAGAAAATCTCAATACACCTATGAGAGGTAAAGAGAGTAAATAAATACCCCCTCCTAATTTTTTTTTTTTTTTAAATCAAAGAAAAGTCCAGGACCAGATGGCTCATTGGTAAGTTCTACCAAATATTTAATGAAGAAATAACACCAATCTTCATAAACTCTACCAAAATATAGAAAATGAGAGAATACTTCCCAAAACTATCAATTACATCAGCTTAGCTCTCAGACGCATCATTCCCTCAAATTCAGAAAAGTTGAAATGGCACAAAAATCTAGTTTTCAAATTTAGCACTGAGAGGAAAACAAACTGTTGTCAAAAATAGGAGAAAGAGAATCAGGAATTTACTCACATCGTATCCAAGCAAATATAGTATCCAAAAAGTGCCACCCCAGAAAGAGAAAAATGGAAAGAATTAACTTGGCAACTATGCAAACATATTACAGTGAAAAAGGAAAGGAAATGGCAGACTAGGGACTCATCTAAAAAGGAAATATAACCAAAAAGAAGAAAATTGCTCATAACTGATCTGTGCTATAGAACGGGGTAATAAGCAAACTATGTGGACAACTCTAGTCTGCCACCAGTTTTGGTAAATGAAGTTTTATTGGAAGACAGTAATACTTGTTTATGTATTGTCTATAGATGTTTTCAAGGAGCTCTGGTGGTGCAGTGGTTAAACACTCAGCTGCTAACCAAAAGGTTGGCAGTTAGAACTCATCAGCTGCTACATGGGAGAAAAATAAAGCAGTCTGCTTCCATAAATATTACAGCCTTAGAAACCCTATGGGGCAGTTCTACTCTGTCCTACAGGGTTGCTGTGAGTCAGAATCAATTCAATGGCAACAGGTTTGTTTTGGTTTCATGGATACTTTCACACTAAATTGCAAGAGTTGAGTAGCTGTAATAGAGATGGTGTAACCCACAAAAATATTTAGTATCTAGCTCTTTACAAAAAGTTTGCTGACTCCTGCTGCACAACAACATACAAATAATTCAAAAAGAAAATGATAAAACAATGTTATTGTTGTTGTTAGGTGTCATGGACTTGATTCTGACTCACAGCAACCCTATGAACAACAGAACGAAACAATGCTGGTCTTGCACCATCCTCACAATCACTGCTATGTTTAAGCACATTCTGGCAGCTACTGTGTCAACCTATCTTATTGAGGGTCTTCTTCTATTTCCCTAATTCTCTAATTTACCAAGCACGATGTCCTTCTCCAGGGACTGGTCCCTCTTGATAACATGTCCAAAGTATGTGAGATGAAGTCTCGCCATCCTCTATTAGAAGGAGAATGCTGGCTGCACTTCTTCCAAAACAGGTATTTTTTTTTCTTTCGGCAATCAATGCTATATTTAATATTCTTCACCAACACAATTCAATAGCAGAACAAAAAGCAAACACAAGAGCAAAACAAAAAGGTATGTTGCATACTTAAACAGGCAAACTGAAGATTCAGGAAACATTATAGCAGAGGTACATATACACAATGGAATACTATGCAACCCTAAAGAATAATGTAGAATCTATAAAACACCGTATAACGTGGACGAATTGGAGGACATTATGCTGAGTGAAGTAAGTCAATCACAGAAGGACAAATATTGTATTAGTCTGCCATTGTGAAAAGTCAAGGAAAGGTTTATATATGGAAAGACATTTTCTTTGTTGGTTACTAGGGGTGACAGGGAAGGGGAGGGAACACTGCTAGATAGGTAGAGACAACTATTGATTTGGGTGAAGGGAAGGGCAATGCACCAAATTAAGTAATCAACACAGTGGCCCTGAGGAAGAGGAAGACAGAGAGGTACATGGGAGATACAGACAACAAAGATGAACCCTTTTGAACATACAGTACTGCATTATCAGTGATGACAAACATTGATCTAAGGTGGATAGATGGGTAGATGGGCTGAATGATCAGGTATGTCTAGGCGGAGGGGAGTGTGCCCATGTATAAGGTTAGTAGATGATGTTTCTACAAGTGTATCTGTACATTCTGTAAGAATGCCCAGGTATATGGCTGACAACGGACAAGGTTATAGTCACTTCTTGGCCATAGTGAGCTGCCTGGAGTGACTGAGTAGTTGGACCTCTGGGCTCAGGACCATGGTCGCAGGGGACATCAAGTTCAATTGGCATAACATATTACACAAAAACATAGTTCCAAATCCTATTTTGGTGAGTAGTAACTGGGATCTTAAAAGCTTGCAAGCGGACACCTAGATGGAATGATGGGTCTCTTCTTGTCCAGAGCTAAGAAGAATGAAGAAAACCAAAGACACATGGAAACAATTATTCCAAGGCACTGGTAGACCATGTGATCCTCAGCCTATATGACTATGAGACAGAAAAACTAGATGGTGCCCAGCTACCAATATGAACCACTCAGAGGGGGACCTGTGTAGGAGATCCTGGATAGAGTGGAAGAATAATGTGGAACAAAACTCAAAATTGTATTTTAAAAAATGGCCAGGCTTGCTGGTCTGACAGAACCTAGTGAAACCCCTGAAACTATGCCCCAGCCTCCCTTCAGGTCTGGAATTGAACCCACTTCTGTGGCTTCCAGCCAAATAAAAGACTGGGACATGGGATGAACATTTACATCAGGTAGATACATTCTTTGAAGAGATTAATCATTGGAGAAGAGAAGGGCAGTGTATGCACAGTGAGACTGCTCTGGGTTCAGGAATGCATGGGAGGGAAGGATACAGGGAAGTGGTAACTATGGGTAGGAAGTGGGAAGAGAACTGTTAAACTGTGTGTTAAATTGCAGACAATGTTATGAGATAAAATGTGTATACACTGCTATATGGAAAATGAAATTGCTCTGTAAGCTTTCACCCAAATCACAATAAAAATTTTTAAAAAAAATTTATATATAGAAGGACATTTTCCATAAATAAAGAAAAACACGCATAAATAAAGAAAAGCTCTAGCTCACCTCATCTTGATTAAAAAAAAAAAAAAAAAGAAAAGAAAGAAACATTATGGTGAACTAAAGGATAGACTATTGTCCATTCTGGGAGCTCTGGTAGCATAGTGGCTAAGACGCTTGCTAACCAGACGACTGGCAGTTCAAACCCACCAGCCACTCCTCGGAAGGAAGGTTGGGCAATCCTACTTCCGTAGTGATACTGCCTCGGAAACCCAAGGAGGGGTCGCTAAGAGTCAGGTATGACTCGACGGCACATAACAACAACAACAACAATTGTCCATTCTAGCAAGGAAGATAAAAAATCAAATTATGACATGAAGAATTAACTTAAGACAAGCACATTAATGCAGATGAGTAAATGGGAGACAAACAAATACAATAAAGCAAAATTATTGTCTCTAAAGTAGACAACTCAACAAATGAAAGAAAATATATACTCGTTATAATTAAAAGTAATTTTGCCAAAATAAGTGAAGAACTGAATCTACAACTGCAAGTACACATACAAAAAGCATTATAGGAAAATCTGATGTAGAACACTCAACACTAAGACATGTCCCAGTTAAACCATTTAATTTCAAGGATACAGAATAATTTTTCTGACATTCTGGTAGAAAAAGCAAATTACAGAGGCAGGATGAGAATCAGGCTGAAGTCATACTTCAATAATAGAAAACCGAGGAACAACGTCTACCCAAAGAGTAGGATCCAAGTATATTATATCCAAGGAAGACCAAGAACTTATTTAAATATAAGAATAGTAAATAATCTCAGAAATAACTCACACAATACAGTATGAATGAACATTTTTTAAAGCACTAACAAACAAAATTACTTGATAGTAAATTCCAACTAGTCATGAGATGAATGAAAATGGAAAACTCAGGAAAGTTGTGGTAAAAGGGTTGATGGTGAGCATTAAATTTGTTTATATATAGATTAATATATCTCTCATGCCATAGTGGGTAAGGTATTTGGATGCTAACCAGAAGGCTGATGGTTCAAACCCACCAGCTGCTCTGCAAGAGGAAGATGAAGCAATCTACTTCCACAAAGATTTATAGCCTTGGAAAACTTATGGGGTCACTATGAGTCAGAATTGACTTGTTGGTAGTGGATTTAATATGTCTCTAT